ACTCACACAGACAGACACAAACCACACACCACTCACACACACACACACACACACACAGACACACACTCACACACACTCACAGACACAGACACACCACTCACACACACACACACTCACAGACACAGAAACAACACACACACACCACACACACTCACACACACTCACACACACACACACAGATATGCTCAATTATCTCCTGTTCAATGATTAACTAACGAGGGTTAAACACAGAGGCAGAAGTGAGAGAGAGGCAGAGATAAAGAGAGAACCATAAGACGGAGGTAGAGAGAGGTAGAGATAAAACACACAGAGGGAGAGAGAGTGTGGTTTATTTTAATTTCAGTTTTGGTTGGTCAGCCGGTTCTCTGACACTCTGACAGTCAGTCAGTCAGAGAGTGAGACAGTGAGTGAGAGGTCGGCTCAGGTGTTGGATGTTATCTGAGGAGACATGGAGCTGCTGCCCTCCCTGCTCTCCACCCTGAGGACTGTGGACCCCGGGACTCTGGATCAGGAGTACAGCGTGAGTTTCATGTGTTTCCACTTTTACCGGCGTCAGCGTGGGAGACTTCTCAAAGCAAAGTGACGGCATTTTCACAAGGTTAAAGAGCACCAGAAAGTCTACGCAGGCAACAACACATCAGATGTTTTGAATGTATGTTTCCAAAGTGGACGTTGTATGTTTCCAAAGTGGAAAGGGTTTGAGTAACTCTGGTGTCAGGGCTGAGGGTTGAGGTTAGAGTTGATGGTGAAGCAAACGTCTGTAAGTTTCTTCACTTCACACCCATCTGTGGATCTCACTGACAGTCTTTTGCTTTCCTGGAGCAACCGGCTGTTTCACTCGATGTGGTTTTATCTCGATTCAAATGAGCTGCCTGAGCCGTGCGACGTCGGGCTGCTTTGGGTAAAACATGCAAATCTACAGAAGTTACAATCCAGCTGATTGTAGTCACATGACTCAGGGTTTCAAAGCCTCGAGCTAAAAATAGATTTCAATTCAGTTTTAGACTCTTGCCTTTTACCGCCACCCAACGCAGCTTTAAGTTGCCTCCAGGCACACGTTTCAGATAAAACCATTGGGCATCCTGGAGGTGAGGCGAGGGGGTTACAAGCTCGCAACTACAAAGCTAGATGCCAGTTACAGTCCAGTTTGTGTGTCTTAAACACCTCCATTTGATTGTAGTCAGCAACTCAGGATGCGGTTCTTTACTCGGTGTCAACAGTAATCAGTATTATGGTGGTTCTGTACAGTTTACAGATTAATAGAAAATATAAAAAAATAAAATACGATGTATTCTTCCACCACTTAATTTCTACTTTTAAAAAAAGGTTTTACACTCAATCAGCAGTTTTTTTTTTTTCTGGGTGTCCTGCAAGGCTCCATCATGGGTCCTTTTCTATTCTCTGTGCATATAAACTATATTACAGAGTTATATTTTATATTATAAATCATTGATCTTTGTGACTTTCATGAATATAATTTCAAATGTTGCCTAAATTTAAGGTATTAACACACAAACAGTGAAAACTTTATTGAGTTAGATTGATAGAGACCCAATAAAATAAAACTACACATAAATTAAGACTTTGCTGCTTCTGCTTTGACTGATATTCAAATTATCACCTGTAACTCAAATATAATTATTTGAAGCAATGTACAGACGTGGTTGAGCAATTTTTTAGTGTCTGCAGAGTTCGACTCCTCACATCACTACCACAGTTGAGGAAGTGGAGACGGTTTTAATGTAAGACGCTGTGAGGACGGTAACACACTGAGAAACTTCTGCTTACGTCAGTCTTCATGTCAGTTTACAGCTTCTTTTTGAGTTAACTGTAACGTTTTATTAAGTATAACAAACACTGTAACAGTTAATATCAGTAGTATTAGTACAGATATTATACTTTGTTACTTTGGTAACTCACTTGTACCTGATATTGAACCTAAAAAAGTACAGTTACTATTAGCAACTTATGAATAAGTTTGATGAAGTTTCAACCTCCTGATGGATGTTTCAGTTATTTCAGAGCACTTTGCTTTCTGACTTCAGACTTCAGAGTGATATGATAAATGTCCACTCAGTAACAAGGTTTAAGTCCTGGTCAGTTTACCCCGGTTAAGTTTCAAAAAATTTAACCTTTTGTTAAAAGCTTTATTTTAGTTTTTATGTGTAAAAATTACACCTTTTAGATGTAGAAAATGGACTCACAATAATGATTAAACTTTATATTTATAAAATAAAACCAGTTCAGATTTGATTAAAACAGAGGAAGCACTCCGACATCTTTTTCATGTTTTCACAATATAAAACTGGACAAAAGATAAATAACTTATAACAAATGAACACTTTATAATTTAATAATAGATTATATGGTATGTATTTCCAGTGTATTAGATTATATTATGATGTATTGTTACAGAGAGCAGCAGTTCTGACTGATCCAACTCACAACCACACATCACATAGACCTCAGCACCCTGACCAGATGGCCAAAGACAACAAGAAAAGACCCGTTAATGATCTTAAAGAACAACACAGCCGTATCGATATCACATCCAGCACCGCCAATATCTTACTAGCATCACAGTACCTCAAGTAAAACGGATCATTTGGGGTCCAGCTCAGTTGATGGGTTTGAATCTGACCAGTGGCCCTTTGCTGTGTGTCAACCTTTCCTGTCTATCTTCAGCTTTCTTTATCAATTAAATTCAATAAATTAGAATTAGTGGATGCATTTTGTGTAAAAGTTTACTTAACATACTGCTGGGTAGCCACAGGAAGTGGGGGCACTGGGGGCTCATAAATCAGCTGTTACAGTTTATTGTTTGTTATCGT